TGTGTTTGGTAAGAAGGAAAGAAAATAGGATAGAAAGAAAATATGAAAGTGATGTAAAATAGCAATGATGGAGAGGAAATTGATTTTCTTTTATGTTGTTTGGTATGAGAATATGGAAAGAAAATGAGTTTACCTTCACTTTGGTATTGGAAGTTAAATTGAGAGGAAAGAAAAAATTTTACTCGTAAATTACTTTTATACCCTTAAATTTTTGTTTGGATATTGATGGAGAAAATGGTAGTTTAGTAACTTTGCTCACTTTAATTAGTTGTTTCCATTTTTCACCTCATTTTCTACCCACTTGTGGAAAGAAGAAAAATGATGAGACCCACGTGTATTATTTTTCACTCTATTTTCTCTTCCTTTCTCTTTTCTCTCTTACAAAATAACCTACATTTCTATTTTCTCTCCCAAAATTTCTCCACCTTTCTTTCCTACCAAACATATTATAGTTTAGGATACACGCCATTTTCACTGTCATGTTTGAAAGGCATATGATGACAAATTAATTCTGTCGTTATTATTTTTTCGTCTTGCTTTAATTATTCTATCATTAGTTAAGGATTGTTTATATGTACTCACATAGCACACACCCCGATTAGCAACACTAAGTAGAGCAAATATAATTTCAATGTGTTAATTCTTACAATCTAGAGCAAATATAATTTCAATGTGTCATTCATTGCAAATGATATTGAGGTTTATCATGTGCGCAACATGTACCGAGTCTCTGTTATTGTATATAGTGCGTGATTAATTTTCCAATGTCAATTCTTACTTAATTATGATAGATTGGTTAGTGCATGTGTCATATATAATTCATATACATAACAATAATGTGCGAGTTTGGAACCGTTTTTAAAAATAATTTTTACATATTTTGATAAGTAAAAAATGAAAATAAAAATGAAACGACGTGTGCGTGATTAATTTTCTAATGTCAATTCTTTCTTAATTATGATAGACTGGTTAGTGCATGTGTCATATATAATTCATATACATGACAATAATATGCGTGTTTAGAACCGTTTTTAAAAACGATTTTCACGTATTTTGAGAAGTAAAAAAATGAAAATGAAAACGAAACGACGTTTGTTGAGCAAATTTTTGAAAACGAAAACAGTGAGAATGGTTTTTATAAAAGAATTAGAAAACAGTTGAAAGTTATTTTCACTTTTCTACTTTTATTGTTTAGTACTTATCAATAATATTATAATATATTAATTAATAATTATAACCAAACATGATTTCACTTTTTTATTATATTAAAACAATCTCTTATAAAATAACTAAATGCAATTTAAAAATCGGTCTCAAGATTATTATTAAAACAATCTTATTTTTACTTTTTATTAAAAATAAAATTATTTTAAAGTTAATTCTAAATGCACCCAATATGTTTCGTTTCTTGCACAATGCAGTGCTAGCTTCAAGGAAAATGGAAAGCAGATTGTGGGTGAGGAAAAGGTAGAAGAAGCTGGATCATCCGCAGAAGGGATTGAATTCGTTGGGAATTGATTTTTTCGCATCTTTTTTTTCTCATGGTATTTGATGTGTTTGATTGTGTTCGAAGTTTCATGTGAAACGCCATTATAGAAATGGATTTTTTTAGGGAGTTGTAGAACTCTAATTTTAATGGCGCATTTACGCTGGTATTTCTCCTTGCTCAAGATCTGCTTGTTATTATTAAATTCACCTTTCTCTGGAGGCTACAATGTTTCAGAAACATGTATAAATATAAATATATACACACATACACACATATAATATATTGATGTTGTACGCTTTCAAGAGAGACAAAAATCAATCAATATTTTGTTTGACCACTATTTATGAGCAATATTAACATTTATCACCATCGGTGATGTTCATTCCCACTCAGAATCATCGACACAATATAATAAAATTCATGCGGAAATAAATATGACAGTTAGGTTTTACATTACGATGTGATAAATGTGATAATTGGGTAACAATATATGATAGATAATATTTTTGCTTCTTTTTTTTGCTGTTGATGATTAATGTAAATGTTTCCAAGGATTAACTATAACCTAGCCATGCCTTTTTCTATTTTATGGAGATTTTTTTGGTAGGTATTGAAAAATAAATTATTGAAATAACTATATTTTCAACTATTATATTTATATTAAAAATTATTTATTCTTCATAATTTTTTAATATAATGTGATTTTGATCAGATTTAATAGTTAAAATTTGATTTTATCAGGAGAAAATCCCGAGAAAAAAAAACCCTTTCTCTCTCTTGTATTTTATGCCCTCAAATATTAAATAGTACCACATTGACGTGGCTGATATATATGTTTTAACTATGAACGTAAGTGTTGATACTAGAATTTCTCACACACCGATGGCCCACCGGCGAAGTATTGTCCCCACTTGGGCCCGCCGTGACGGGTGGGATTTTGTCCCTTCGTAAAAGGCGCCTCGCTGGGGTGAGGGGCCGGCACTCTCCCCGTGGGGCACTCTCCTGACCCCACCCCCATCGAGATATTGTCCTCCACTTACGCCCAATGGATAAGCACTGAGGGAGGTTTTGTCTCCCTTGAGAGCGCCTCACTGGTAGGAGGGGTTGGCACTCTGGTACATATACCTCTCCAAATCCCGTCTCCAACCGATGTGGGATTCTTGGTGTACAACAATAAGCAACTTCTTTTTAGCAATATTATACTAAAAGAACTCAACTGTTATAGCCAAAATTTATATACATCATACTTTAAAATAATAGTCTGCGACAAATAATAGAAGGTACTGATATTGCACATCCTTTTGCTGCCGTCCAGCATGGATCAATTCGTGCACCTACTTTCTTTCTCTCTCATATAAAACAATAAGGTTTCCAAATACTTATTTACATTTTAAAGTTTTTTTATTGTTACGCATATATTTAATTGTGACAAATTCGTCATCATTTATGATGAGGCAAATGCTGTGTTCTGGAATTTTCTGATAGAAAGCTGAGCCAAATTAACTAATTTCGATGCTCGTAAGTGGATAATATTACTAATTTCGATGCTCGTAAATTAACACAAAAAGGTCATCTAAAAATGTTTGGCTGTTTTGTTCAGTTACACATTTGAGACATAATTGGCAGCTAAAAAAGAAATTAAAAGGACGTGTATGTAACAATCTAACATACATGTTGCCGCGGACAAATCTTGCAATTATAAGGCAGTCTATTAGTTAGACAATCCAACACTAGTAATTGCGTAATTCATCTCAATTTAAAAAAACAGAATTTTAATTAAAGTAGGTAAATTTAACGTTTAAAAACATGTATAATCAATGCAATATAGAGATTACAAAAGAGTTCATGAACAGAATTCCTTGCAACATCAAATTCACCATTTCGAAGTCTTTGCTTTTTGTAGACACCCCAAATTAAAAAAAAATAAAAAATAAAAGGTGGAACGTTTAGTGAAAATATACTTTAAAAAGCCCAGCTTCACATGAATAGACAATTAAAAGATACTTTTATTTTAACATTATTAAGATTTATCTTGAGTTTGGATTTATTATTTTAATTTTAGTTTTGAATCTTTGGTTTATCATTGTCATTTATTTTTTAAATTAGCTCTAGTTCTGTTAAGATTATATAGTTTTAATTCTATTAGTATTCAAATAACAAAAATAACCTATAAATTATGTACCTTTATGACATTCATTCAATAAATATTCATAATTTCTTCCTCTTTTTCTTTAAAAAGTGATTCAATTTGGTCCTCTAACTCAGCCACTGTCCTATCTCCTCAGTCCCGTCGTTCCGGCGCTACAAACGACGCTACAACTCCATTCTTATTCCGTCGTCGATGAAATCGATTTTTGCATCTATTGAGTTTGAGAAAACAGACAATTCAAAAGAAGAATAAATAGAAAAAATCACGTTTTTTACTTTTAGATTGTCTATTTTCACATACTCGTAGTCTGTCAGAGGTTGATTTCACTATTCGTGATGAAAGACCTGATCTACTTTGATAACAGTGGCAGTACATCACGATCAATAGCTTGTTCAGAAACAAGAAGTGATCCAGAATACTCCACGGACCTCCTGAATTTGTCGGTCCTCCGCCTCGACTCTCCCTGTCAATACGGCTTCTCCGGCGACGGCAATTCCCACAAACGGCCTTCTCTGACCTCCATCAACTCCCAACAACCAAAGCCCAAGAAGCTGTGTCTTGACGACTCTACCGCCATCACTACTGCTTATCCTCTCCACCGTCGCTGCGTCCCCTACTCCTTCCACCTTCCTCTTCCAGTTCAATTCTCTCCTCAATCCGCTCGACTCCGGCCTCGGCCACAGGTGTTTCGTTGAACGCCTCGCCCAAGATCGCAAATTATTTTGATGATTTCGAAAGTACACGATTTTACTTTTTTTGCACTTTTTTGTTTTGACGTGTATACATTTATGTGCTTCGGGAATTTTTTTTTTTTTTTAAAAGAAAATTGTTAAATATCATGCGCTTTTTGTTTTTGTTTTTTTTTTTTTAGAAGTGACTCTGTTTTTTATAACAAATAATCATGTAATTTATAAACCAAGTATTTGTTTTTTATATAAAAATCCATATTCATATTTAAAAACAACAAAATAAAAGTTGTCTACCTAAGAAATAAACACACACCAAAACTTATATTGGATTTTCTCCCTCCTATTTATGTAGTCAACATTATTATTTTCTTCATAAAGAAAAGAAGTTCTGTATGCAGACTTCTCAATACGTGCTTTTTTTTTTTTTTTTTGGTTGGATGATATCAAGTGCTTGGTTCTTCATAACTGTCTTTCGACATGTAAGGTTGACCATTAAAGTACTCTTTCGAATAACGATTTTTCTTTTATTTTTTCTTTTAAGAAACTTTTGTATATCCTGATTATGGTAAATAGTATTAATACTTATAACTGATAATTGATATATACACGAATATTGAATGAAGAACATAAACGTGAGACAAAACTACCTAACAAAGAAATTCATGTCATGCATCGGTATTATTTCATTAAAATAATATTGGTCGTTGTTTCAACAGAAACCTAAATTAATAAAACATTTTTTTAATGAAAAAAAAGGAAAACAAAAAAAAATCCCAGCTTATAGTAGTAGTACATGCTGGGACAGTAATCACTAATCAGCATGTTAATGAATTGTTCGCAATTACAAGGCTCTGCATTTTACAACATTTCGTGATCGAGATTGACTATGGTTGGTGGCTAAGAAACTAATCGTAAGAAGAACCAAAAAGAATAGACATTTCTGACAATGGGGCCCAAACATTCTCCTGCACTACCAAAGAAATGCAGCAACATACCTTCTTGGACCAATCTTATGCGCTATAAATATTTTTTTACACCTCTTTTTCAGTCCTTCGGTTTGCTATCTCCGTTTTCCGGGAAGGACGGAATTTTAGGAAGAAGATCAGCACTAGCAGTGGCTGGTGCTGCTGCCGGAACCGACAGTGTTGTCTTGGTTGTAGGCGTAACAATGGTTTTTGAAACACCATTGCTAGCAGGTATCTGCTGATTATTTGCTTCTGTTTTGGGATTTGTACTGCCATTGCTTAACGGGTCTTTTTGAGTCCCCGCTTCACTTCTAGCTAGTGATGAACACTTTGTCTCTGTAACGTCAAATGGAAGAAGGTTATGATTTTCAGTTTTAAACACAAGTATTGCAAAAAATATGATAGAAAAATTCTCCACTCTCCAATCCAAACCCACATCAAGAAAGTGCAACATTTTAGATTTTTTTTTTAACCCTCTATGGGGTGGGTCTTGGGGTTGGATTGGACATTGTGAAATTGGAAAGTTGGAGATCATTAAAGTTGCTGGTTAAAAAATGCACGTGACAGTTGTGGAATGCAAAAATTGTTGATGACTGTCTAAGGAAACTCTCCGATACTGTAGAACCATGAATCAGAATAAACCCAAAACTTCTAAAGCAAACGTAACTTGCCTTTTATTTCTCCTAATGCAATTAGCATTTTGAGGCAATCTCGAAACTTCGACAAAACAATCCTTTCTTGCTCTGCATAAACCTCTGTCATGCCATGCTGCGAAGAAATGCTGCAGCTATGACCTGTCCCACTAGGGGAAGCTGCTGCCATGAACATTGTATCCTGTTCATCACACATTAATGCCAAAGTATCCGGAGACATTGGTCGCCCTTTTGGCAAATCAGCATCACCTGAACCGGAATCATCAGTACCAGTTTTATTGGCCTGGATTCCACTAGAACAATCATCAGCCACAGCTTTCTCAAGATCAGATTCCTTCTGGTTCTGCAACCTGTCTTGAGTCGCTGAAGCAAGGGAAGTTTCTGACTGGTCTTCCACCCTCTTTTCTGTTGCACTTCTTTGGTCTGCAATGATTAACACACATGTAATTAACTGTAATATCCTTCAAAGGCAGGACAGACCAATAACATTCTACTGCTAATAAGCTTTTTAAGGAAGAGTTTTGATCAAGAAGGTATATCTCAGCTGAGGCAAAAATCTCAACACATACCCACACGAGGCTGTTTGAAAGATTCTATACGATTTCTTTCCTTTACTTTTATTTAGCCAAACAAAAAAACAAAACAAAACAAAAACCAAAACGAAAAAGAAAGAAACATTCACACAAACACTGACAAGAACATAATATGCTCACAGATAGATTGGCTGGGCTCTACATTTACTTCACCCTGTGAGACTATCTCTTAAGATTTATCAAGGTCAAATGTTTAAGAGTGGAATAATATTTTATGTTGAACACCAAAGTCCCAAAATACTCCTATTTAGCATTATTTTGACCAAAAGGAATCATCACATGAAAATAACTACTAGTCTCTCTACAAAAACCAACACATACCTGCAAGGGTCTTGGCTGCTTCTCCAGATAGGACGACCAAAACTGAGCAAAGCTCTTTCAAGTCCTGCGGTTGGATGATGTCTGCTAAAAGAGACCTTCAAAAATCACACACAAATAAGTTTTGAATGAAGCACAATAGCATATTAACAGCTTTTCCATAAAAACAACATTTTATACCTGTATGTAAATTTTGAAGGGCCCAATCCTGCAGTACTGCCAAGCCGAGCAACAGGAACTGAAGGAGAGGGTGCGGGAGCTCTATGATGGTTCGCCTGAGTATAATTAAAATATGCACTTAGTGCCAATCCTTTCACACTTATAATTGGGTTGGGTTGGGGGATATCAAGGAGAAACAAAACCAAAACCTAATGCAATTTCTTAACTGACAATCTGAAAAACAGTAGCCATAACACAAATAGACTTTCTAACTCTTTACGACTGGAAAACAAAAACAGCTAATGCAATGGTCATATGAGATACCCTGTTGGCAAGAGGAGCAATAGCTTCTTGCATTACAAGTTACAACAACTAAGCAGTCCATTGGTTATTCCTTATGGATAATAAAAGTTTACCTGTTGAAATTGTCCAACTCCGTGAACAGTTGTATCTTTGGGTGTTGGCCCGAAGAAAAGTTCTTGACCTTTCCTTTTCTTGGATACTGGAGGCGACGCATAGCCAGAGGATCCAATGGCTCCAGTTATGGCAGCATTAGCTGCCTGTTGAATATAAGCTATGTTGTTACCATGATCTCCATGGAATAGAGCTTGCCTCTCTTCACTTCCCTCAAAATTCTTGCAGTCCATGCATTTACAATTTTCAGAGCAGAGAATGTTTGCTTGGAAGCACTCACAGTATTTCTTGAGACACCCTGATTTTTTACAATGACATCCTTTGTTGTGCTTTCCCAAAATCATAACCTCCCCAGAATCCTCCTATATTTTCACACCAGTCCATATATGTTTGTCAATAATATCCAATGCGGAAAATTGGAAGAACATATAATTTGATTTACTAGTAGCTAGAAAAAGAAACAAATGAATCCCTTTAGTTAGATCATCATTTTTCCAAAGATGTCAAACGAACAAACACACAAAAGTTCATTGACCTAATGAAATAAGATAAAGGTCCAATACACAAAGCGACAATCTCTCTAATCAACTCATATATTTCCACATTTCTGGACATACATGATGCATGCTGAAATGATCATAGCTTCTGTATGAACTGAAACAGAGGACATTTTAAATAAAATGAAACTTGACTAACAAATCCGTCACACTAAGTAAGGAAGATATTGCAACGATTGGATACATTTTTAAAAGAGAGCCCCTTGCACAACATTATTAAGTCCACGGTTTGGAAAATGAAAAAATAAGCATTTTTGTTGAATCATATTAACTGCAAGGCAAAATCAGTAGCTGGATAGGAAAGAAAGATGCATATTAGCAAAAGCAGTCCATCAAGCTAAGATTTACATACCCTACTATCCCGCGTTCCATGTGGGCTGCTTGCAATTTTTGGCCTGAATGCGTTTGGGTTGCGCTCTAGAGTAGCTTCCACTGCTTCTCGTCTAGCAGCTTCGTTTTCAACATTATTATAACAATTTATACAATTGCAACCATCGCAGTATATTCCAGATGCAAAACACTCACAATACCTGATTATGACATAACCAAGTGGAGCTTTATATTGGAATACAATGTTCCATGCTATTCCTATAAAATGAAACTTGTTGCCAAACCATTTACAGTCTTAAGAATTTCAGAGGCATTAAGTAATTGTCCATAGCTCAATTAAAACATATAGTGAGCTTCATGTATTTAAAATGCATCAGCTACCCTATGATGAACTGTTTTCTTCATGAATTTCGATTTTTAGACTTACAACTTCAAGCAACGTGAGTGTCTACAGTTGCACTGTTTTTGCTTCTTTGGAGTGCCATCTTTCGCTTCACTGGATCTTGATCTCGCTTTTGGGGATTCTGGTTTTCTGGATAGAAATAACAGTAGTGTCATAAAGTGACTAGATTGATATAGCTCAAGCTCTATATTAAGATTTTCACATAATTATATCAATCAGCACATTTTCCAATTTGTGAGCTAAAAGATTTCAGATTGTGCAAATGTATCTGCAGTAAATGCACCAAAGATACAAGATAGATCCACAGGACCGCAGCTACAGATGTATTGAAACGTAAATCAAAAGGGAAGCAAGGGGGATTTTTAATGAGTTATGCGTTTCAGATTTCTCCATGCATGATGGCTAATCATGGTTACAAGACAATTAATTCAGTTTATATGCCATCTTTAAGACTATATCTACAAGATAAAACAATGTAGTTATCGATTTAATCTTAACCAGAAAAAATAAAGAAAAAAATGAAAGAAAGAGCTAGCATTCATTATGGTGAGAAATTCAGTTAACGAAAATAGAAACATTTAATATCCTACTTAAACATCCTTAAATAAGCTCAAATTTTGCCAACTCTAATTACTTTCACCTTGTGGCAATGCGTTGAAGAAATGTCCAGAACAAAAATAAAACTCTCTTTTGATAAATAACCTAACAAAATTATATTTCATATTGCACAATCAAAGACCTTAAAATCTTTCCACCTTCCCTTCCAAGGCAAGAGGACAAGGAAATCAAAGAAAAGTCCTTAAATCAAATTCATAACGCCGAAGGCCCGCTCAATTCAACCAAACTACCACAAAAATGGAAAATAAATAAGACAATGATTTACATAAGCAAAAAGCACAAAGTAACCAAATTTGAACTTGAGAAAAAGATAGAAACAAACAAGTAATCTCAATAGAAAAAAAATCTAAGCAAGACCCAGAAAAAAAAATACATGGACAATATAACTTCGCCTCCAAAAATCGAATCTTTAAACAAAGATAGGAACTTTATCAATAATCCCCATAAAACAAGCACACAGATTTCGCTTTCACACTCCAAGTACCAAAACTCTAGAGTCAACAACTACAAATCTAGACACAAAATTTCGATTCCCAAACAAAATTCCAATCTTTTAACCAAGCTCAAGCTAATTAAAGCCAAGAAAACTTACACCATCCTAGCCGAAGGAATAGAAGATGTCTGAGTTGCCACCGGCATCGCCACCTCCGGCGGCTGCGGCTGACTCTGCATCTCTGACTGCAGCGGCGGCGCGGTCACCGGCTGCGCCGGTAACACCGGTTGCGACTGAGGATGTTCCGGTAATACTACACTACCCGACGCCCCACCGTATCCCGTGAAATCGAGCTGCCTCACGAGCTTCTTCGCCGGAACATCAGCCGTCGCCGCCACGGCATCCGATTGAATCTTCTTTGGAGGCAAATCGCCTCCCTCTCCTTCCCCCATAAAAATTCAAAATTCAAAAATTTACCGCAAAATTTTCCCAGGAATAAATTAAATCCTCCGATTATGCCCCAAAATAATCACCGAAATTCCAAAAATCAGCTCAAATTCGCGCGCTTTCAGATCCAAAAACGAAACAAACGCCGCGAGAGGAATCAAATGCACCGAAAAACCGAGATTCTGCAGCTCAAGATTCGCGGCGAAGAAGCGAAGCTCGTCGAATAATGCCTGCAATTGCGAAGCTGGATTCTCCGATACAGAGCGGGAGGAAGGAAAATTTAGAGAGAGAAACTCCGGAGGAAGAGATAGAGAGAGAGAGAGAAAGAGAGATTTTGAAGCTGAAATTGCAGAGAAGAGAAAGAAAGAGAGGAATGAAGGAGAAGAAGGATGACCAAAGGGGCGTGCGTTCTCTCTTGTTCTTCTTCGTCTCTTCTCTCCTCCCTCTCTCTCCCGAGCTTTTGAAATTCAATTTTGTAAATATTGGACGGTAAGATTAGCGTCTCGGCTTAGATCCGACGGTCGAGGCTGAAGAACATTATCGAGGATCTTACGGTGCAAATTCATAGAAGTGAAGTGTGGTCAGTGGTTGACCGTCCGATTTAGAGCGATCGAAACAAAATATTTTTCCACCAAAGAGATGTGAAATGAAAATATGTCCATTTGCGATATTATTCGGTGCGCTCGGCTCCACGGGAAAAAGTGATTTTCTGTTTATCTTTTGCCACGTTGCAGATAAGTCGTTTCTTGCTGATCAATAACACGTGGAATCATGTGATTGGTGGATCCACCAACTGGATCGGGGTTATGGAAAGCGAGGGAAATTGTCAATAAATAAAAAGATTCCCCTCCGTTAAAAGTGAAAAGTAAGAGAAAATAAATAAATAAATAAAAATTTGGCGCTAAAATGGTCCCTTCAGAAGTTTTGTCGACTTAAAAACCCAAATCCTACCATAAACGCATTGTGCTTATAGTTTACTGCAGCATTTTTTTATTATAAAAATTTTAATTTTAATTTAAACTTTTTAATTAGAATTTATAAATCAAACAACACTTTATAGTATGTTTAGTCTATAAGTTTAAATCAAATAGTTTAAGTCAAAATTTAAATTTTTATTAAAAAATTATATATATATATATATTTTTTGTAGCATAATCGTTTGAACCGAGATTTGAACCCTAAAACTAAAAGGGTCCTATAGTTTACCGCAGCATTTTTTTTTATAAAAATTTAAATGTTAATTTAAACTTTTTAATTAGAATTTATAAATCAAACAACACTGTATAGTATGTTTAGTCTATAAGTTTAAATCAAATAGTTTAAGTCAAAATTTAAATTTTTATTAAAAAATTATATATATATATATATTTTGTAGCATAATCATTTGAACCGAGATTTGAACCGTAAAACTAAAAGGGTCTTTAAAACCGTAGTGCTTAAGATGCAACATGAATGGCCTATTTTCAATCTCAACTTCTTAGTTTATGGGTATGTTTATTTTATCAATTTAAATTAAGAATTTGAATTGTATATGTAAAAGAAAAATATTATAGTAAAAAAGTTAAATTTAAAATTTTGTAATATAAAACACTATAGCAATTGAACTTGACTTGTGACTATTGGAAAAATGGCTTGAAAACCCATGTTTCAAGGGTATTATTTTGAGGCTCGCTTTTGAATAGAACTCACTTCGTGTTAGTGATGCTTCAATTTAGAATTGTGTTATCTATTATGAGGAGATCAAAATAATATATTTATATGCTCAAAATGGTTAAGTGATGCATGAAAAATTAACTCTCAAAGTGTTCCTGTGGAGTTGAAAAAATCGAAAAAAAAAACTCTCAAGAAATTGAGAAAAAATGGAAAAGCACTTTATTGCACATCAAAAAGAGACGAAGCCATAGTCTCTTCTAAACCTTATATGAGGGACCCCCACTCTTCAGTTGAGATAAACCACAATTTTAGGCCTTGTTCGGCATAGTGGTTTTTGAGTGAAAAACTCAAGAAAAGGTAACTCGAGTTATAACTTTATTCGAGTTCATGTTTTTTTAAGTTTGAATTTGAGTTTGAACTCAAGTTTGAACTCGAGTTTGGAACTTAGAGTTCTCCTTTCCTCTCAAAAACTTAGGGCTTGTTATTTTGAGTACAAAACTCAAAAAAAGGCAACTCGAATTATAACTTTATTCGAGTTCATGTTCTTTTAAGTTTAAACTCGAATTCAAACTCGAGTTTAGGACTAAAACTCGAGTTCAAGTTTCCCCTTCAACTCGAGTTCATAAACTCGAACTCAAATTAATGAACAGTATTTTTTCTATTCTTAAAAATGCTATAACTTTTTCGTTTTAATTCTGATTGAGATGATTTTTTTTTTCTATGCTTTGACAACTAAAATACAAATAAAACCCGACCCATATGCCCTATTAAAATTTTTCATCAGCATTGAGTTTTTATTAAAATACTATCTAAATACAAATTCAAGTTTTGACTCACTCAAACACAAACTCAAAAAGATTCTTATCTCAAACTATAACTCAAATATACACAACCAAACACAAACTCAAGTTACAAGTTCAACTCAAGTTATAACTCAAATTCAACTCAAGAATTATACTCAAGTTAAACTCCAAAAGAACAAGCCCTTAGGGACTGTTCTTTTGGAGTGTGATTTAAGTGTAATTTTTGAGTTAAATTTGAGTTATAACTTGAGTTGAAGTTGTAACTTGAGTTTGTGTTTGGTTGTGTACATTTGAATTATGGTTTGAGATAAAAATCTTTTTTTGAGTTTGTGTTTGAGTGAGTCAAAACTTAAATTTGTATTTATTAGATAGTATTTTAATAAAAACTCAATGGTAATGAAAAATTTTAATAGGGTATATGGATGGAGTTTTATTCGTCTTTTTGTTATCAACGCATAGAAAAAAAATCATCTCAATCAAGATTAAAACGAAAAAGTTATAGTATTTTTAATAATAGAAAAAATATTGTTCATTAATTTGAATTCGAGTTTCTGAACTCGAGTTGAAGGAGACACTTGAACTCGAGTTTTAGTCCCAAACTCGAATTCAAACTTAAAAGAATATGAACTTGAATAAAGTTGAAACTCAAGTTGTCTTTTTTTGAGTTTTTTAGGCAGCCGAACACACCCTTGAGAATTCAATGTGATAGAGTTCTGAAAGGCAATCCATGGTATTTTTAGTTTAAAGTTTTCTTTCTTTTTTGGCTTGAGTTATGAAAATAACAAGCATAAGTAACCCGTCAAACTCAATACGCCAGCTTATATAATGTGGTCGAAGTCAGAAATGGAAGTTGTCCTTTTTCCATTGTGGCGATTAACGTGGAGGCAGCCCAAATATGTACCACGCGTTGTTATCATACAAAAGAACTTCCTCTGATCATATCAATGTCATCATGCAAAATAATTTGGCCGAGTTCTTTAGCTGCGGGGGTGAGAGGCAGCCACTATTACGTTTTATGGGTTTCAGAAATGATCTAGGAAGAAGGGAAGAAGACGATCAAGTTTTAGGGTTGTGGGATGCATGTGAGCAACCTAAGGAGTACCGACAGAGTAAACACGTGACGACTCTAGATGGGGTGGATTCAAGGCTCTTCTAAATATGCCTCCTGGAGACAAGTGCGCACTAGATGGTTTGACGCTTTATCGACGGTTTAGATCGTAATTTTAAGTCTCGTTCATTTCACCGATTCGAGTTTTAAGTTTTTACAGTAAAAGGCTCATAAAATGTCACATCTAACTTTTTCTGCTACAGTGAAAAACTCTTAGAAAATGTCACATCTCAGCTCGAATTGAAAACTCGAATCCGCGAAGTGAACGAGACGTAAATAGCTTTTTGACTCTCGCGCATGGAATTCATTTCAACCGGATTCCCATTTGAATTTTTTAAACTTTTCTTGTGTAAAGCAGAGTTATTATTTATATTAATATTACGTATTTAGATATTTAATATGTATTAATATTATGTATGGAGATATTTAGAATACATTTATACACATAGGTGTGGTTTTAAGGGATTTCTATAATTATTTATCAGCGGGTGTTATTGTTTTAACTGTGACATATTAATCAGATGGATTAATGAGATTAGATTTTTATCACGTCACATCATCAAATATTCAATTTTCTATATTAGATGGATGAACATCAATAGAAACTAATCATTGAAAATTTATCCATATACGTGTTATGTATTGAGATTTTCTTATGATTCTAAGCACCAGAACAAACGTCTAAGCACCAGAACAAACGTCTAAGCTATGTGTGTGTGTGCATATAGATGTATATGACTGAAAAGAAGAATTAGTTAAATTTAATAAATAAATAAATAACACAAGAGAAGAAACTCAAAAATGCTGCTAATATCCCTTCGTAGGACCAAAAACCAGTTTAAAATATAAAAAATAAAGGTAAAAAAAATTCTCTAGTAGTCCTTATAAAATGTGAGTTTCTTACTTTTTAATTATTAAATAGATTCAACTTGAGTGATTTTAATTATATTCAACAGTCAAAAATTAAGACTAACAATTAAGAGAGACTAAGAGAAACTAAAAAAAGACAAAAGAAGCTTTTGTCTTTATGTTAAAAAAAAAAGGCACTTATACTTCTCTAATGAGTTATTATGTATTAGTGTGGACGATGGTGACCACATTGCACCCATATATGGACTGGTTATAGGCCACAACATGATATAGACGAAAATGGCTACAACTGCATTGACCGAGACCAAATATTTTGATTCTACGCCCTCCAAAAAAAAAATGTGGGGAAGGAAAATATATCTAAAAAAAAAGTTAATCCCACAAATAGTTTTTAAAGTTTACCTTCAATTGTACTTTATTCTCTACATTTAAAACATCTTATAGTTGGTCTCTAAGATTTTATTTTATTTTAGTTTTTGTCCTTTGCTTAGTGAGGTGTTTAATTTTTGACGGAATATGTATAAATTAGTAATAAAAAATTAAAACATTTAGAATTTAGGGTCTATTTATAGGAATTATTTTTTGTATTTTATATTGTTTTATTCTCTAGATTTTAGATCTTTCCAATTTTCATCTCTAATTTAAATAGATTCCATTAAATATTTAACATTTAATTAACTATGAGACATTTTAAAAGTCAAGAACTAAAGTGAAATTAAGGTTGAACCTTAGGGACTATTCGAAAAAGATTTTATGCCACTGTTACAAGAGAAAACAAGACAAAATTATAAAAGCAATTTCTATTATACGACAGTGAAAAAATTAGATTGAAGAAGAAAATTTATAGGAATTCATTTGTGGGTTTCGTCTCAACTATAAGCCAACTAATTTCTTATAGAAAGGCCAAGTTTAAACCCAAGATTAAAAATGGGCAAAACATTCAAGTATCCAATATGAGCTAAGAGTTAGAGCTTGCTAAGTTCGCATGCAATAAAGATTTAAAACATGCTGAATAAATAGGAGAAAATTCTACTTATGCAACTCGAAAGTGGCAAAACTTTATAGCTAATTAACCATTATAAGCAAAAAAATCAAAATTTTAATCATTTGCAACGATTGGATAGATTTTTAAAAGGGAGCCCCTTGCACAACATTATTAGGCCATGGTTTGGAAAATGAAAAAATAAGCATTTTTGTTGAATCATATTAACTGGATAGGAAATAAAGATGCCTATTAGCAAAAGCAGTCCATCTAGCTAAGATTTACTATCCGGCTGCTTGCAATTTTTAGTCTGAATGCGTTTGGGTTGCGCTCTAGAGTAGCTTCCACTGCTGGAGAATTTGAGTGTAGATGATGAAAAGAATGCAAAAAATAAGAGACGATTTGAGACGTATAAAAATACTTTTAATATTATTATAATAATTTATATAATTGCAACCGTCGCAGTATATTCCAGATGCAAAACACTCACAATACCTGATTATGACATAACCAAGTGGAGCTTTATATTGGAATACAATGTTCCATGCTATTCCTATAAAATGAAACTTGTTGCCAAACCATTGATAGTCTTAAGAATTTCAGAGGCATTAAGTAATAGTCCATAGCTCAATTAAAACATATAGCGAGCTTCATGTATTTAAGATGCATCAGCTACCCTATGATGAACTGTTTTCTTCATGAATTTTAACCATTAAGAAAATTTTGAATTTTTACGACCAATTGCTAATAAATTGCTAACTAATGGAGAATTTAAGTGTAGAGGGTGAAAAGAATACAGAAAATAAGAGAACAGTTAAGGTGTATAAGAATACTTTCCACATTATTATAATAATTTATACAATTGCAACTGTCGCAGTATATTCCAGATACCCTCAGTTAATGTAAGCTTGTTCGAAGAAAACATAATATCCTCAGTTAATGTAAGCTTGATTGATATATATATATATATATATATATATATAAGAGATAGAGTTAGAGAGAGTGTGAGAAGATTCTTGGAGAGCAGAGGCTGACCGGAACTCCACCGTTTTTGGGCGCATCGCCGGGCTCCCGATCGTGAAATTTGGTCCTCCGGCTCACCTCGTCGTGGGCTTCTCGTTGGTGGTAGTGGTGTACGGTGTGGTGACTCTATTTGGGTAGATTTGAACCTGTTAGGAGCTTAGAAGCCGAATGGACGGTCTCCTTTCTTAGGGGAGTTTTCTTCTTGGTGGCTGAGATCTCTTCACGGGCTCTCTTCCTCGATGGTCTTTCGGCCGAACGCCCTTCACCGGAGGTTTCTACCGGTAGTGGTCGGAAGTTTTTTTATTTTTGTCACTTTTGTGTTTGTAATAAGATTGGTGGTTTCCTCACCAAACTCTCGTCTGGTTTGTTATTTTTTATTAGATTTATGTGTTCGGCTTAATGTCGATATAGTGGTCTTAGTCCGGCCAGAATTTTTTCTATGCTGTGTAGATGATCTGCTCCTCCAACGCTCGACATCTTATATTGAAGAGATGAATTTTCTTTAGTCGTACTTTCAATCCGTTCGTTGTTAGTGTGCCGACGTGCTTTTGTGATTTCGGGGCTCAAATTTGTGTATATCCCTTTAATAGATCAACATTATACAAAAATAATTGTTTATTAGTATTTTAATAAAATGGAATTTTCTTATAAAAAAAGTTGTAAGCTTGATTGGAGTTTTCTTTTCCAATAAAAGAAAAGGTTCTACCTTTGGACCCCTGATAATCATCATTGGCCGCGACCTGATTACAAGAAAAGAAATTTAAAAAATTAATTATATTCTCTTTGTTTTGTTCTGTTCTGATCTTTTTTTTAGGAGGTGGTTATATTTTTATTGATTAAGGTAATGATTTTTTCTATACCAAAAAAAAAAAAAGTGATAAATTTGTTTTATCACAGCAATCTCTTTCTCAGTTTTTTTTTTTTTTTTCATTTATGTGTCATGAATTCTTGTAAAACTTGTAAGGAATACGTGGACCTAAATGAAATGGAGATTTCTTCCATTTTGATTCCACTTGCGGCAATTGTATTGCATTTAGTAACGAATTATACTTGATGAACTTTAACCAACTTTCCAATTTTATCAACTTAATGACGGGCTCTATAGCAACTATGAACGGACATAACAAGACAGCACAAATGAATTGCCTCTTTTAGACAAGAACTGGAAAATTACAAATCAAGCAAGTAAAAACTGAAAAGAGTACATGACCTGCTCAAACTAGAAGAAACATTAAAAATATTGTTTGCTTGGGAAGTACAAAATTCTAACATCAGTCTCAAATCTGGAATTTGACCTCATCCTTCCTCCAAGTGAAAGAAAGACATCTGACAGAAACAAAATTATGCAAATATGTGTCAATATGTACCACCAATGCGATCTCGCCCCATGCCTCGCCGATCATCACGCCCCCGTTCCACGTAAACATCCCGCCGGTAGTCTTTTGGTGGTGGGCCACGTCTCAATGGCGACCGACTTCTCTCCCTAACATCACGTGCCCACCTACCACGATTAGGAGGTAATGGAACTGGCGGTGGTGGAAGTGGAGATGGCGGTCGCCTCTCAAATGGTTTCCTGTCATTGATGAAGCTCTCCCTTCCTCGATCTCTGTGGCCCCAATCCAATGGCATTGGCCTGTCAAACTTGGCTCTCCCTCTGTAGTGGTCGTCTGGATAGTCCAGTCGATCTCTCCGCATGTGGTGATCAGGATACCTGCCATCATGCCTGGGAGGTGGCAGACCTCCAGCACCAAACTCTTTAGGGCCATCCCTCACCCAGGGACGAGGAGGGGACCTATAGCCATTCATAGTTCTTCCCGGGGAGTGATCCAACGGAGGACCCGGGAAGCGTCTAGGGGGAACATCTGGGAGTGGTGGGCCAGGATAACCCCTTCGAGGACTTCCTACAGGTCCATAGCGAGACCTTTTGCAGTTGTTGCAGGAATCTCGTCTTGCAAAGTTCAGGTTGCCACATCTATGCCATGATATAGAAGAAATATGAACAAGAATGCAGAGAAAAGGAAGAGAGGTAGAAAACCAGACAAGAGACGTAAGAAACAAACAAACTTACAGAGGATCCGGGCAATACCAATCTCCTTCTCTCGGACGGACATTTGGATTGTTTCTGCTCATGCCCTCACCTCTGAATAGCCCAGGGCCAAAATCAGGACCATCAGGGCCCCGACCAAATGGCCTGCCGCTCCCCCTTCCACGAGCATAAGGGGGTGAATAGTCTCGAAATCTACCAGCATCTCTCGCAGCACCAACTTCACGGCTGCGTGCCAGACTACGTAAGTGGTCAAAGTCAGAATTGTAGCGATGATCAGAATCCCTTCGCCGTACAGGAGAAGTAGAACCTGCACGTAGTCTATATCCTGGAAAAGAAGCAGTGCATTCTAAAGATGAGCAACTTCTAATTATGAGAGAAAGAAGAAAATGGAAGAATAATACACGTATAGCAGCTGAGTTCTGTGATCCTGAACTCCCAAATGACCATTTCAACATAGTTTGCAAAGATGGTTACCATCACTCAGGAAATCTCCCCATTGAGTAGTACAAACATTACAAACACGGAACAGATTATGAAGCTCAAAGGATAACTGCACTCGTTATTACTTCTCAAACAAATGGTCGAAGATACCAGTAAGTGCGATTAGGGCAGTGAGCAAAGCAAAACCCTGGTTTACTCATACTCGTGACATATAGTAGCAGGCCAGCTTTCTTTCACAGAAATACAATTCCAAATCCTATTTTCAAGAGCCACATCCATCTATCTCGTCAGTCATAAAATACTTTATGCTTTTACCTATATATTTGAACCAGCCCCTAATCATATATCAGGAGAAACCATAACTTGAAATATCAGTGAGATAGTAGTAGTTAGGAAGTTACTCCAACCATATCTGCAACAGGCAGATGAAGGCAGCCCATCTATGACAGAATATCGAGCGAAGAGGAGCAGAATCTTGGTGCAAATTGTTCAAATCCTCCAGTCCAACATAAAACAGACTACCAAAAGAAGACCCAATTCCAACCGTCCAAATAATTTGACAAATTACTTCCTTCCAAATTTTCCATTCTTTTCCTACATTATTTTAGCGTCATAAAAACCCCATATTTTACTACTAAAGCAACAAATTGGTGACTTTCATATTCACCGGAATGCATGATCACTCTGAATAACAGTGGCATGATGATATTAAGGCCTGTTCCAACCGAAATGTGTAAATTCTCCACCACCCGCATTGTCATCAATAACTTCAAGGAGAAAATGTAGGGGGAAGATGAAAAGATGACCATCTGAGAGTTCTAACAATTCTCAGGCTGCCCTGCTTTCTACCCAGATCACGACCCATGAAAAAGATAAATGCAACCAAAACCTATGCAGTTCAGGGTAAGCTAAAAGCAAATATAAGCCCAAAACTCATGCACTCACCACAATGGAAAACATCCCAGAATCGAGAAACTTGTATAACTAGAGATACCCAACTCAACCCAACTTGACCAGCCAACAAAAAAACAAAAAGAAAAATCAAGATAAGAGGAGATCTACAACTAAACTGATGGTAATGATGAAACCCTTTGAATCACAAACTAAATGAACCCGTAACGTTCAGGAATCTGCCAAGCTTATTGCTCACAGGAGAACATCTTCCATAATGGAATGTCACCCCAAGAAGGCAAATTCAAGAGTATCCAACTTTCGGCAGTCAACCAACCCTTATTTTCCATCCTCTCACAGTTGCTCAAAACCAACCAATTAACATATGACGGGTTTCCTTACCGGTTACAACTCGCGATGACCATAAATTGTGTTTTAAAGTTGGCAAGGTTCCTAGAGGTATCATACCACGCCAGCCACCCGGAAAATCTTAAAAGTCCATCATATGATTCCAAATTGATTGACGTTTCTATAGTCTTACGCAAGCCAAGAGCCACCATTATACCCAGTGATTGAAACCAACATTACCCTCGATTAAACAACATAAAGAGACTGGTGCACCCAATTTGAGTGATTCAGCCCACAAATCAACATACCCTGCAATATCCACTGTAGTAATCTTCAACAAACAAAATTAACCCACAACATGTAACAAAAATTCCCCCAAGACCATGATCCAAGACTGAACTAACACCAACATGCCTTCCTCAAGATTCAAGTTCTTGCAGGCAACACATGGAGCTGTAACACATAACAGCAAAATTTATTCGCAGTTTGACACTCTTAAGTGGTACTAGATCCGCATAGAAATACACTTAAAAAATAGTTAAGCACACAGTTATGTCAATGGTCAAACGGGAAAAACAATACAAACTACCACCAACCCTCCTTCATCTCATCTCCAAAATGATAAAGCCAGCGAATAAGAATAAGGGATAATAACAAAAACCATCCCACTGTATTCCCAAATATTGCGCCATGCCCTATATTTTCAAGAATGCCAGACCTATCCTCGAGGTTTTACAAGTGTAGGAATGTTTTTAACACGGGAGGCTGGGGAGATTTTTAACACGTTTTGTATGTAAAACATAAGAATAGTTTTGGCACGTCTACAAAACATCGGGGAAAATGAAGCATTCCTGAAAACAAAGGATAGAACGAACCGCTTCGATAAAACAAAGGGGAGGTTTTTGTTACTATCCCTGAGGATAATATACAAATTCCTACGAAAGATAAACACTAAAAATTTAACACCAAAAAGATGGTGTTAAGAACACTTAAATCTCCATAACTCAATCTCTAAACATAGTACACTATAATAAATTAACAATTACTTCAGAAACCAGCACTAACTGTTACTCTACCAACAAAGATCCGCAAAATATATATGCACACTCTAAACATGTAGATAACGGGAAACAAAAAGAGTAATATCACCAGCAAAAATAAAAGCACAAACCATACAAATAGCTCAATCTAGGGTTTCCAAATAGCTCACATAAAGTTAAACTCCAGCTTTCCACAAGCAGATTTAGAGATAGAAAAACCACAGACTAAACCCCAGAAGTTTCTTCAAAATTAACTCGAACTGCGAATTACGGTAAACCGTAAAATAATAAAACCAAAGCATAAACCAAAGAGACGAACCAGAGTCACCGGAGTAGCGATCGGATCTGGAGTACGAGGGAGGCTCGCGGCGGACCTCGCCGGCCTCGTAGTCGCTGGCGCGGCCTCCGCCTCCGCCGCCGCCACCGCCGTCGCTGGTGGAGGGCCGCACGACGAGGCTGCTCAGAAGCGGCTGATGCGGCGTCGTTTGGTCTTTGCCTCTCGAGGTCATTTGTTTTTTCTTTTTTTTTTAACAGAAATAATAATTTTTCCTCTGCTGAATGTTGGTGATGATGAGCGCTGTACGCGGGTCTGATCGCCGATATTTCAACGACAGGGTGTGGAACCCTCGGATCGAATTTTGGGATTTTTCTGTGAAATTACCGAAAAGGTCGAGACTTTTCCTGGTCTCAAAGTTGAATAAATCAGAATGAGTGAAGACTCTCCTGTGAGTATATACGTTCATATGTTATATATTATAGGGATTTCAGCACCGAGTTTTCCTTATAATTGACAAAAATTTTGTAAAATTATAAAACTAACAGTTTTTATTAATTTGTGATTAATCATTAATTGATTTAAAGGTCTATAATTGATTAATTTAGTTATTGATTGATTTAGCTATTAAGATGATTAATTTTAGTTTATTATTAATTCACTCGATAATTTTTTATTATTATGGTAATTAACTAATTTGAATCAGTAAATTATAAGTTTATTAATGATAAACCGTTAATAAATTTATAATGAATCGGTTAATCACTAATCAATTATGGGTCAATTATTGATTAATTATGGTCAATAATTAATTGACTTTGGGTCAATCGCTATTGATTTTTGTAAATAAAACAACCATTTTTGTAAAATAAAAAGAGTTTGGTCATTTATAAGAAGAGGCGTTAAAAAATGACATTTAACTAATTTCTATATAAGTGTGTTACATTAATAAAGTGTGACAATTTTATTTAAGAAACAAATAGTACAATCATAAATTTTGTCCAAAAATAAAAAATTAATAGTGTGGATGATCCATTATAGCAAAAAATAATAGTCAAACTATTATTATTTCTACCAAAAAAAAAAAAGTGAAGACTTTTTCATGCACTCTTTTCAATTTGTATGCACATAATTTCACAAAAATTGAGCTTTATATAATAGCTTAATAATTGGCTGTTTCGAAACGTCATTCAACTTGGTATAAGCTCTTTCGTTGATATGATAATGAATCTATTGTTAATAACAAATTGAAAATGTTGATCTTCGCTCTCTAAAATTTTCTATACTTGACACTAAAAACTAAAAAGCTACAAATCTAACAAGAAACCGCACAAAATCACACAAAATTATAGACTCAAGCAAGTTAACTCAATCAAATTAAAATACGAGTAAGAACAAACTTAAATGTGACTCATGTGATCAAAAAATTGTTACCTAAATATACTAAAATAGTATCAAAACTGAAAAAAAAAAAAAAAAAAAAAAAAAAAAAAAAAACCCAAATATCCTCTTGCAAGCCCTAAGTAAGAAGAAAGTCATGAGATAAAAGAAAATACAAAGCACGAGGTTTTCATGGTACTACCTGGCTACCCCTTCATCAAATGTCTCACAAAGTTAACATCATTCTCTCACATCTTAACCTCATCACCTCTTTTCTTGCTAGCCTAACCTCGTTGTATCGTCTTCTCAAGAGCCCGACTAGTTGTCTGGTTGCCTCGTCTTTGGTCATGTTCATTTTGTTAGTTCGAACCACAATTTAAACTTTTGTTACAAGTATTTTCACACATAAAAATTTAAATTTAACTTTTTCGGTTACTTTTTTTCTATCACATGAATGCATTTATCATTAGAGTCATACTCATGACTCCTTTATCATCATCCTCCGTCAACTTACCTTTAGCTATCATGATGCAGCAGAATATGAACTTCAAAATTTTTCATATCTCAATATGCTATATAAAATAATAATGAAATAATTATCATGCGTTGGCATTTAGACATGGATTGTTAATGGTAGCAACAAAAAAATAAAAATAAAAATCTAAGATGCTTTTATTGAAGCTCTAATTAACAAAGTTTTCTAAATTTCACTCGCAACATCTTTGTTGATCGGAAAAATGAAACGATAGTTTATGCATAAAATAAATGGAGAGTTTTTATGATAGCATGAGAAAAAATAACCTATCAATAATATATTACTTTTTAACCATGGAATCTGTAAATAAAAAACTTTTTGTTATATAAATGAGGAGTTTCTCAGTATGAGAAAAAATGACCTATCAATAATATCTTATTTTTTAGCCTTTGAATTTGTATAAAAAATTATTTATTTTAAATACTTTTATAATTTAATAAAGTTTTGATTAGATCTAACGTAAACAATTAAGTTCAATCAAGAGACTTACAGGAAGAACTCTCATATTTTATGTTCAAAATAACAATGAAACTCCCATATTTTATGCTCAAAAGAAAAATGAAAATAAAAACTGGGTTCATGAGTTTTAATTTTTAAAATTTAAATATTTTTATGAAAAAAATACTAAATTAAAAATTACGACTCTAAACTAAAAGTCAGGAGGCTGTTCGGCAGCCTCATTCTTGAGTTAAAAACTAAAAAAAAAAAAAAACAACTCGAGTTACAATTTTATTCAAGTTCATGTTCTTTTAAATTTAAACTCGAATTTGGGACTAAAACTCGAGTTCAAGTTTCCCCTTCAACTCCAGTTTAGAAACTCGAACTCAAATTAATGAACATTATTTTTTCTATTCTTAAAAATGCTATAATTTTTTCGTTTTAATTTTGATTGAGATGATTTTTTTCTATTTATTGACAACAAAAAGACGAATAAAATTCCACCCATATACCCTATTAAAATTTTCCATCAGCATTGAGTTTTTATTAAAATACTATCTAAATATAAATTCAAGTTTTGACTCACTCAAACACAAACACAAAAAAAATTCTTATCTCAAACTATAACTTAAATGTACATAACTAAACACAAACTCAAATTATAACTCAAACTCAATTTAAAATATACGCTCAAATTACTTGACTCAAGAACAGCAAAACAACATCCCCAGAACGCTCGAAACGGAGCATAAGTCCTAACGTGAGTCCCGGTCCCGCTGACCAGCGTGCATCTATTTCTATTCCACACGACATCTGCACGTGAATTTTTGTCGTTTTCAGCCCGGATTATCGCGCGTGCTCTCTACGTTGCTTCCCTCTTCACCTGGCGGCTCCTCCAACCTCCACACGCGCTTCAATCGAATGTCGGTGGGCCACCACCGAACCTAAACGACCCACGTAATCATATCTCTGCTGACTCTCATGATTTAGTAAGAATCGATGTCCTCGCTTGCAAAAAAGAGAAACAAAAGTCCTCATGTGCAAAACAAAAAAATGAAAAGCACGTTTCGCCAAAAATGCATAACAAAATATACAAAAAATATATGCCAAGAAGGACACGTGTAGCTCATCGTCTCAGATGCCTGACCGCGGCTTTAAAAATACCATAAAATTCTCTGCGAAGCTCGGACACTTGTCTTCTTCTTAACCGTCAACTTCATTTCTTTGCTATATTTATTTCTTTTGTTTTTCAACAAACAAATTAAATTATTTTTTTAAAGGAAAACAAATTAATTATTGATTACGTTAACTAAAGTTATTTATTTATTTCTAAATTTCGTCGTTTTCGGGTAAAATTTTGCGTTGCTCGGTTGCTTTAACAATCGACAGCTTAGAACCTACTGCTACAATTTTTCCCTCTCCTTAAGTTCTATATATATATATATATCACACGCGCACATATATATATGAGATAAGAAAGAAGCTACTACCATTGCCGTTCTCCAGAAGTTTCTTGAGTTTTGAGACTGAAATTCGCGATCAGTTCAAGATCCGGTTGATGATCGTGGCCATAGAGAAGGTACGCCTTGGAATTTATGTTTCTGCGTTGTTCTTAATTGCTGATTGCTATGTTTTCTTGCGATTTTCTTTTGTTTCGCGGTTTTTCCCGGTTGCGGCTTGTTTGGTTGCTGAGAAACAGAAGGAAAGGATTTGGAACTGAGGTTTTAGTTATTGTGTATGTGTATGTTGATTTTCTTTTTTCTTCATTTTTTTTTCTTCCCGATTGTTCTGTCTCCCAAATGAGGAAAACAGTAAATCTTGAAATCTTCTCGTAGCAGGAGGTGGATCAAGTAGTTTTAATCAAATTAAGTACGCAAATATCTTTGAATTCATGAAACATTGATTTTGATGTGGTATTTGATCATTTTCGTAGTTGTGTCTACTGTTAATAGAAGCTGAAATGTAATGGAGAGAGAGAGATATGAATCTAGTAGTTTTTTTCTGATCGAGTATGCAAATTTATTTGAATCCATGAAACATTGATTTTGATGTGATGTTTTAGTCATTACCTAGCTGTGTCTACTGTTAGTAGAAGCTGAAATTGTAATGGAGAAATGCAAAGTTAAATGTGGTTATTATAAGGAGAAAAATGCTAACGCCCCAGCCAAACAAGTGGAGCAAGGCTGTTTTGACAACTTCTTTTTGTATGGTGACTTGTACAGCATCATCTTTTATGTCAACTACATCTGTTGGTGCTACATAAACTTTGAAGGAATGTTGAAATCCTTGTAATTGCTAAGGAAATCTAATATTTCATCGCCATGTTCAGTTTAATAATACCTTATGTTAGATCACACTTCTAATTGCCAGCGAAGATTTATAGCTTTAGTTTTATTTTATTTTATTTATTTAAAGGTAGCAAAGAGTTGTTTGATTAGTTAAAGTACCAAAATACTGTAAATTTGTAATTTGGGTGGGTTTAATAGGCCTGAAATTTTTTATTTTCCTTATTGGTGATCAAAACCAGGAAAAGGAAGGCAGGCATACTTGTGGTATGTGGCCTCGGCAACGTGAAGCTGCATTGATGTACAAGCGCATGTCATCGAGAGATTATACAGAAACAGTAGATGTGGAATCAAGAGATTATGTGAATACGAATGCCATGGAAGAAAAATCTGGTAGTACTATCCGTTGACCATAAAAATCTAATTTATTGTTTGTTTAATGTGGTAATTCTCTAGCTGGCGTGGTTTTGGAATGGAGTGCTAAGCCCATTAAACTACTGATCATGTTCATATTAGTTGAACTGCTATTTCTATTAATTTGAGGAGTTGATTTTCAGGTTCCTAATTAAAGGTGAAGAAAAGAAGGGAAAATACTTCTAGATTTTTACTCGTTCTTGGATATAAAGCTGATTCTTTTTTTATTTTTGGCATTAGTTGTTTGATCTTATTTTAACGATTGTTGGAATTGTGATGCCAATTTGATGTAATTCAGACGGTGCTTAAGTAAATCATATGTTGGAATTCCTCGAGTATCTAGTCTAATTTATTCTGCCATGTCTTTTAGCTCTTTTACAGAATGGTGCGGATAGAGAAACTTCTAATCCTTCGTGGACACTTTCTTTCCCACATGTTGTGGCGGCAACCTTAGTTGCATTCTTATTTGGCTACCATCTGGGGTTGGTTTCTTTGATTTGAAACCCATATACTTTTTCCACATGTTCTCTCTCTTTATCTCTTCTCTATCGATTTAGTTTGATAAAGGAAAATTATATTAATGGCATTCATTTTGTTTTAATGCTTGTATTCTACAGAGTCGTAAACGAACCATTGGAAAGCATCTCTGTTGATCTTGGTTTCAGTGGCAATTCATTGGCAGAAGGTGAGGGCCTTTTATTTTATTTTATTTATTTATTTTTGTGGTGGGTGGACTCTTATCCAACTTCTAGTTTTGGCATCCTGCTTCCTACTCCATTAAGTTTAAATTCTTTGTTTGTAATGTAGGTCTGGTGGTGAGTACATGTTTGGGCGGTGCCTTCATTGGATCTTTATTCAGTGCTTGGGTTGCTGATGGGCTTGGTCGCCGTAAGGCTCTTCAGCTGTGTGCACTGGCTATGATTATCGGTGCTGCTTTGAGGTGTTGTAATCACTCTACTAACTGTTTGCTATCACAATCATGTCATTCTGATTGAGCACTAAAGGAAGAGTTTCCTTTTAAATTTCATGGAGCATTAAGACAGAATCACCTTTTGTATACTTCTCTGAAACTAATTTCTGGTGATATGTACACTCTGTTTCGGCCTTTGGAGTTTTTGGCGGGTTTTTACTATGATACTCCTGTGGCATTACTATGATGTTGACTGCCTACTATTTTTCCTTTTCATTTGGAGGTTCACTGCTTGTTGTTAGATTTGATAGGCTGGGCAATTATGTTGTATTTGACTATTTTCAGCGCATCTATCTTATTATGTAGTTTTTGCAATATAGAGTTCCTTCCTCCTAGTTTGTATTGATCTTACCACCTCTCTTGTTAAATTCCAAACTTGAGTTAAAAGACTTAGAATCTAAAGATAAACTTGAATTTTCAGTGCAACAAGCAAAACCATTGCTGGTATGCTTTTAGGAAGGTTACTTGTTGGGACTGGTATGGGTCTGGGACCTCCTGCAGCTGCTCTCTATGTAACAGAGGTACAAATATTAGGGCATAGCTTTCTCTCTGATGCTATCATGGTTTTTACGCTACCATTTTAAATATGGACTCTATCTCATCCAAGTTTCCCCATCATCGTGAGCAGGTTTCACCTACTTTTGTTAGGGGTACTTATGGAAGCTTGTTCCAAATTGCGACATGCCTCGGGCTCATGGGGGCTCTTTTCATTGGAATTCCTGTAAAAGAAATTGTTGGCTGGTGAGAATGCATTCTAGATCCACCCATCTCTGTTTTATATTTTACAAATTCAAAAATACATCTTAGTTTCTGTGCTCAGGTGGCGCATTTGTTTTTGGGTATCTACAATTCCAGCTGCAATACTTGCTCTTGCCATGGTTTTCTGTGCAGAGTCTCCACATTGGCTATATAAGGTCGCTTCCACTCATCTTTTGCATCTGATAGTCTTAAGTTGATTTATTTCCCTCTTTTTATTATTTTTTTTTGGATTATTATCATTGGCACCAATGAACTTTAGGGTCATTTTCAGTTTGCGCTCTAAACTTTAAAAACTCTCACTTTACCCCTAAGCTTTGAATTGTTCCCACTTAACCCCTTCTGTTGTAAAATCTGTTAAAAACTTATAGAAAAAAAGAGAGTAATACAATCTCGTGGGATTTCTGTTAGAAACAAACATATAATAACCACATGGCAACACTTAACCTCCTTTTTTCCGTCTAATTTTAACAGAAATTGTAACAAAATGAGTTAAGTGAGAACAATTCAAATTTCAGGGGCAAAGTGAGTTTTTAAAGTATAGGGGGCAAACTGGAAATGACCTTAAGTTCAGGGGCACTAGTGATAATAATCCTTTTTGTTTTTTTTAACACTGCTTATGTTTTTAGTTCCAAGTGTTTGGGATTAACTCATTTTTTCCCCTTCCCTGTTAGAGGGACTTAGTTCCCTAGGTATGTCATTGTTTCATAATGCTGTTGGAAATGACAAAGTCCTTAGGATTTTAATTTTTACCTCCACTCTGTAAGAGAAAAAAAAAAGGGGAAAAGTTAAAAAAAAAATACTAAAAATAAAAAAAAAATGGAGTAAGCAAATGTGTGATGAGGCGCATATCTAGTGGCTTTATATATATATATATATATAT